ATATGATGGTAGATATATTGAAATTTATTTCCTAGTATCTGACTTTTTTTATTGACAATGACTTTTATTAACAAGGATTTGCCTCTCTATGGCAGCCATGAGAATACACTTTATAGACCTCCAATCACAGGAAGTATAATTCGCCAAGGGCTCAGCTCCTGCACTCCAAAACCCATCATTTTGTTTGTTCGGAGGCCATGTTTCCCATGGACTTCTCTCAACCTCTGATTAGCTATGATAAGAATACTAGAGCAGGCATGATCTTGGGAGACCTGGGATTCCTCTGATGGCAAATTTTGGCTCAAGAAATTCCTTATGACCTTGCTAAACCTTCTTTAGATGGCATGTTATTTGAAGATGCTTGCACCTCCTTGTCCCTGCCTGTCTCTTTCATTGAAGATCAGGCCTGCACTGAAGTCTGATAGCTCACTCAGCCTACCTGCCCCCCCACCCCTATTTTTTATCACACAGACATTTTCTATAATAAAGACATTGCACATTTAATTCCATCTTGGCATTTACTTCTTGAAGAACCCAGACTTACTCTTCATGTCATGACTAAGATTTCCCCCAAAACATCAATTCTCTCTGGGTCTGATTCTCCAGTGATCAGATTCACTGTCTTAGAATTATTAATTTCCTTTAATTCACAGCCAGAAAGTTTTGAGCTAGAGAGATGCTTGGAGAATTGGTCCAGTTTCTCAAAATGTAGACCAGTTACATCAGAACCAGCTGTATTGCTTGTTGAAATGCATCCCAGACCTGCTGAAACTGAATCTCTGAGGATGAGACCTAAAAACCTAAATTTATGAACTAGCTCCCAAGGTAGTTCTTGTTGCATATTATAGAGTCACTGATCAAGTTCACATTAAACTGAAATCCAGGGAAAATAAATTCAAATTACTTATCTAATTAAGGCCAGAGTTTAGCCTAAAACATAGGTCTCCAGATTCCAATGTTAGCACATTAACTATTTACATGGTTTCCATATAATTCCAACTATATCCCCAACCTGGAGAATGCCTACCCTCAGATCTTTCGAAAAGTTCAGTAATCAGAACTTACAGGAAAAGACCTTTAATCCCTTCGGTACCTGTGACACCTGTCCTTGTCTTGAAAAAAATTTGACAAACATCTGGCTATTTTCAAAGACTTGGTCAAGGTGATAGCCAACAGTTGTTAAACAATAAACTGGAGAGATAATCATGACCATTTTTTCTGGAGTCATAAATCTAAAAATGTCACAGCTAATGCTATGGATTGAAAACGAGTGAAAATTCCACCTGTGGGTATATTTTGGAATAGACTTTTGAATGATTATTTGATTTTGTTTAATTAAAAAATTTGTAATAATGAAGTACTGAAGTGTTCTAGTTATTATGACCAGTTTAATAACTAAATTAGACTTGGTATGCATTGTTAATCAATCTAATAAAGAAATTTGGTTGATCTAAGTTAGATATATTTATAAGCCCTGTAGAAAAATAGCATATAAGTTGAAAAGAATCTTGATAATTGAAGAAATAGCTCATTAAAATAAAGAAAAGAAGACAAACAGTAAAAGGAAAAAATGAACAAGAGCAAAGCTACAGCTAATCAGAAATATGCATAAATGAAGGATAAGGACCAAATTACAGTTTGGATGGACATACATGTAACCAAAAATCCATGGGAGGTCAAAATCTGTGACAAACTGGTAATAAATATAATCAATAAACACACACTTCAAGCTAGACTAATAAGCCACAAGTGAGGTAGAAGTTAATCATCCATATTACGTCAGCTTGATCAACTGATTTCCACATTTGAAAGGGGATAGTAAAAGCCTTCATTGCTAGCAGTGGGGGAGGAAGCAGAACCTGCAACAAAAAGATAAATGTGTTCGTCTTGTTTATCTTAGAGAAGTAACAGACAAATCTACTTTTCTCAGGGAGGAAATTCTAATTGTTTGAACAGAAGGACTTAAATGATAAAAAAGTAAGTTCATGCGAGTAGAAAATTGAACAGTGGAACATGTTTCTGGATAAAAATGTAAGTTCCAGAAAGACAACTATTTCATTCCCAACTGAATAAAATGACACATAGAACAGGGCTTGGCACCTAGTTAGCATTCAAACAGTGATGAAATAGATAAATAAGTATGTTTTTATCATTGGAAATCTAGGAGAGTTGAGGTACTTACCAGGCAGGACAAGAAGGAGGTGTTAAAGTAAAAACTAATTCAAGTCTTTATATATATATGATTTTATAGAATAAATTTGGGTCTTATGTCCATGACTGACGCATGTGTTTAATGCTATTGGTCTAAAAACTTATTTTACTGGGGTCCATTATTCAATTCAGGTAGCAGGAAGCACAGAGAAAAGTGGAAAGATAATATGGAAAAATTCTTTTCATTGAAAGGGCATTTATGGATTTTGAAAATGTTAAATACTGCAGAAAGTTATTGAAATAAAAACAGCAGGCATATGGGTAGCAGTCTGAAAGAACCAACCAAATTTTCAATGTTTCTTTATTAATAATTCTCTTGTACTACAGGGCTTTTCCATGTTGATTAGCTGATAGTAAGAAGATAACTGTAGGAGAGCTGGGTCCAGGTCGCAGCTAAAGATGATTTTATTTTTTTCCACAACCACATTTTAAATGTTAGCCGTAATCTCTAATACAGATATTCATTATTACTAGCTTGTCTCTCCATATGTATGTCTATAAGCACTTGTCGCAACCCTCCTTCTCCAGTCTGACTAGCACAGCTGTACAAAAGATGCTTACTGGGCATGTTTTATATTTGTGCTTTCTGAATTTAAAAATAAAGTGAAAATAACCATTTCATCAATCAGATTTCCTTTAAGTATATCCAGTTGTAAAAATCAGAAAAATCAGTTATTGAATTATGTATTTGTGGAGTGCTTGTAGTCAGTCTCAATTTGATTATCTGATATTGTCAGGACAATTAAAATGGACAACTACTGTAGGCAGCTATTCTGGGAACTGAGAGCAGAGTTGGCCAAGACATCCTGAAAAAGGAGAAGTTCATCTGATCTAGAAAACTGACATCATACAGGTCTGAGCAAGAGAACACCTTTCTCCACTTAATGTTTTCACCGCAGCCCAAACTTCATAACCTTTGAATTGACCTTGGCCACTGTTCTTAGTGTTTAGCATGTCAGTCTGGGACTTCTCACACTAACATCACCTGCTGAGAACTCCTGAGAAGGTTCCAATTAAGTATCCTGTCTATCTAAGTATATTGTGACTACTGCTTAGAACACTGAAATCAGTAAGGAACAATTTACCAAACCAAGTTTCTTTTTTACATATCACTGTTTAGTATTTAAACAAACTGACAGGAGGAAGATATTTTGTTCAACATATGTTATCTTATGATATTTTTATTATTTATACCAAGTTTATAATTGCATTTTTTAAATTAATATCTTCTTCATAGTTAAAAAAGTTTGATGAACAACTAGGGAAGGAAAAAAGATAATTCTACCTTTCAATCCATGAGATGAGTTGACTAATAAAGTAGTATTTTGCTAATTTGACTTTAATTTTTTGTCTTTCTTTAACACAGTAAGATAAAAATTGCAACATACTCCAATGAAGAAACAATCCTTGAGGCAATATCTAATAATTTATTCTAAAATAATATCTTCTATTGAAATATTAAAATTAAAATTGAAATCAAACTTCTTTATATATGTATCTTCCCATTTCATCCTATTTTGCCTTGGTAGCAGCTTCTGCTTCTAATACCAGGCTCTTTCACTTTCCTGGCTATTTGTTCTTCAGTGTAAATATTTTCCCTGAACTTTGCAACTACCAATCTTCTAAAAGATAGTCAATTCCAATTTCTTAACATTCCAATTTCATTCCATCTCAAAGTATTACGTTTTCAATTTCTACTCAGCTATATTTCTGTGTTATACTAGTTAATTGCAACCGATTGAAACTTCAGTGACAGCTGAGTCTGAATACTGGGTGAAAAATACTGAGTGTGCTAAAGTCTGTTCTGCAATTATAACTTTTATTTTTGTGGTCAACAAGTCTTAAACTCTATATAAATTTCATCTAAGAATGGGCATATATAAAGCTGCAATTATTGTTGCGGTTAATTCTTGAATAAAAATATTAGTAATTAGTTGCCTTTATTAATGATTCTCATAAATATATCATTTAGATGAATATTATTCCTAGAAAAGTGAATATTCCATGGATTCTAAATAGCCAGAAGAAGTTAGGAGTGATTAAGTTACAATATGTTACCTGTACACAAATACAAAATAAAAAGAGGTTAAAAACTCTTAGATACGAATTTGAATGACAAATATTTGCCTACGTTTCACATTGGGCAGCATCTGTTGGACATCTGAGAAGTTCTTTAGCTATAAGGTTCTCTTCCATTATTTTTTTTAAAGAATTGAGTGAGGTTTTTAAAATAGAAAAAAAAGTTTGACGTTGTTATGCATTTTATTTACTTAGTAGTTGGTTTTAAACTTATAATAACTATTAGGAATATAGCAAAATTATATCACTGTGTTCACTCTCTCCTGATTGAAATACTAATTTATTTAGGAATAAACATAAATTAAGCAGAAAAAACATAGTATTTTTACTTTTTTAAAGAACACTTGGAATGAAAATATAAAATTCTAATGATTTATTTTAAAATTTCAATTATGCTATAAATTTATAAATGCATTTTTTGGAGAAGTAGCTTTCATAAGACAATTAAACCTAAAGTTACATGAAATTTTACATATTTGGCCAAATATTTAATTTAGTTTAATATTTAATCCAGACTTTTTTCTATTATACCAAATTATAAAATTATATGATTTTAAAAGTTTCAGTTTAAAATTCTCAGTAACTATAATATTCTTGTAAGAATTTTAATTTAAAAACTAGGATTAAAATAAGTGATACTAAATATCACACTCTGACACTATAAAATAAATAGAACTTTATTTTTACAAGATAAATTTAAGAACCACAAAATTAATAGAAGCATTTTATTACATTAGCATTGATATAGTCAACAATAGTCTTCATGGCAAAGATGTGTGTGGTTAGAAAAAAGCTATAATTTTGAAATTTACATTTAATTAATACAGCTATACATTTATTTTAATCAGTATAAATCCTATAACATAAAACTTTAAAAAGGTTCTTAACCTTATTTAAAAAAATCTCCATTTCATTTAAGAAGAGTTTGTTCCATACTGAAAAACTCATTTTTAATGCAAATAACATTTGTTATGAGTTTATCTATATGCTGCATCCATATCAGATCACTTCAACTTCGAGTGGGTTCTTCTCTAAAGAAGTCTTTGCAGACTAAGTATGGATATAATAAATTCATCACAAAGATTTCAAGGGTAAAAAGAGTGTATATATTAGCGTGAAGCAAATTTTTCAACTTCTTCCTCAAACATACCTCATTTTTTTAGTCCCACACTTAATGTCTGAGAAAAATCTGGGTTAATTATCAAAGCAAGAAAACAATACTTTACCTCAAACCTTAATTTAAAAAAAATTAAGCAACCTCTATTTGTTATCTCTGTCTTACTTTTTTCCTTTATGAGATCTTAGTTATCTGGAGAAACTAGGAAAAGTCTTCTCTACTCACCTATTGAACACAAGGTTTTTCACTCCAATTTGTAATTTATTTCTATGTAAAATTTAAGAGACGAAAGGTACAAAAATGTAATAAAAGAAATAACATGACAGATTTAAAACTAAAGCATTGACTTTTCACTACTGTCCAGAATAGAAATTATCCAAGGAGCTTCGGTCAAAATTAAAATCAGGCGGCCTTCTCAAAAAGTACGATACGACGAGAGTTTTAAAATTTCACAGATTAAATGTTTCTAGGAGCTTAATGTTGTCACTATTTGTTGCGATTCAGTGTCATCTAGCTTTTGTAACTGATGTCCTGCAGCTTTTGGGCAGCAGAGGGCGTGCTGGCATTGTTGACGCCATCTACCTTCTGGTGCACTGAGCTAGTATCTTGTTCCCAGGAAGGAAACTTAAAATGTTTCTCTGGAGGGTTGTCTTTGAGCATCTCAAAGGGTCAAGCTCTTCCTAAATTATTCTGAGAAGCTTTAATTTCAGACTATCAAATGAAAGTTGTGATTGTCAAGGGGCCCACATGACACTGCTGTGCCCAAGTTCTCCAATTGTGAAGCTTGCATTGTTTTATTGCAAAAATGCTGAGCACACGCTTTCATAGCAGACAGATTGGCAAAGGTCATTAAACTGAACTATTTTTTAAAAAGTAGAAAGTACAGTCTTAAAAATATAGAAATATTCCGGATCAATAACCACTCTAGATTTACTCACGGCAACAAGAACACTAAATTGTGTTACCTTATTTAAGTGGTATTTTACCTTCTTTTACATCATGCATTTCATTTCTGTTTAGCAAATAATTTTAAAATTGGTTAATCTTTCTGGAGGAGGAGTTTAGATTGCCCTAAACAGGAAGGATTAGAGTGAGGGGGATTAGGTGTGTTTCCTATTATGTAATATGAATTATAATGCAACTAGGGCAGGAGTATTTTGCAGTCTTGGACCCTTGTTGCTTCGTGAAATATCCGAGGGAGTGTGGATGCAGGAGATCAGTGCAGAAGCATGAACACTGGAAGGAAAACAAGGCTTCCATGATAATATGTACTGCTTTAAATCCATTCCAATTTCCAATGACTGCTCTTAATTGGCAAAAGAGAAATGTTCCTCGATGCTTTTCTTTCATCATTCGAAGAGCCCATTTTGTCCCAGTGTTTTACCTATTCCCTCCTAAGTTATATAAAATGAAATATAAACCTAATCATTAATGGACATGAAAGACCTAACTCACAGAGTTCTAAAATCACAGGCAAATTAAATCCACCCTGAAGGAGGGAGATGAGAGTATCTCCTGCTGAGGATATTGCACTTTATTTTCTGAATCATTTGATATACCTCCATCATTCAGGAGTAAACGAACAAATCGGATGAAATGTATGACCCATTTATGGCCCATTTCTGTGTCTGGATAAAAGTTGGTGTTGCTGCCTCTATTGCCAATCTGGAGTGTTTTATCCATTCCTAATTTTGACATTGTTTATGTTTGTGAATTTTTAAACAAATTCAAGCAAATGTAGTAATTTCTTTCGGGACCCCAGTCTGGTTAGAAATTGGTTGATTTTTGTTTCTCTTTCTCTTGTCTCTTTGATTCATTATTCAGGGCATTTAAATTTTTATTATTTATATTTAATGCATTCAATATCCAGGTCAGCACGATGAAATATGATGAGATATACAGATTTATTGAATATATTAATACTGACCCATTTGACCCTCGATTCGTAAAGCGAATCTTCACTGCCTGAGATTTAGTAAACCACCCTGACGTTTTCCGTCTCTTGGAGCTAGGAGGATGAAGCCGCTGTGGTGTTTTTTCCGCAGTGCGGGTTTCAGGCCTGCTGCCCCTGCAGTGCCTCCCGCCGGCCGGGAAGCGCAAAGCAAGTTCGGTGCACTGGAGCGGTCTGCAGAGCTCTGAGTTGTGCATCGCCTAGGAAAGCTGCCCTGATGCTAGCTTGGCCCGAGGCTGCAGGGTGGGAGGGCTTCTACTTCGTCTTCCCTAGTTGGTCCCCATCACTTCTGGGAAGTCTGGAAGCCCACACTGGCGTCCATCGCGAGTCCCTTTGGGGACTACACCGGCACTGTTAAGGAGCATAGCTGAAGACCTTACGTTTGTTTGCATGTTTTGAGGAAGATGACTTAAGAAAAACAAAATAGAAGCTTCTTCTCATTCTCTTTCTTGCAAGTTCTTGATGCCCACTGCTTAGATTCGGGTTTCAGCCTAAAGAAACTGAAATTGTTTTCCAATATACACACAATAACTCTATGTGTATAACTGCACGAAAACCGAAAAGTACAAGCCAAATATGGCAACAGCTAGAGTGGACTATTCCGGTAAAATATTAGGTTTCGCTATATTCGGCACTTCCATAATTTTAATTGTTCTTTCGCAAATTACCTAGTCCCTGTTACTCTTTTAGGTGGGTGCGGGACGGTCGTATTGCTTTTTGGTGAGATTACGGAGAGGAGGGCTGTGGTCAGCACCGCGGACAGCACCAGGCGAAAGCGGCGCGGCTACTTTGGTGAATCCTCTTAGCTCCTCTCCTTTGTTCCCAGCCCCTGCAGGCCAAGGCAGAACAAAGACATCTATCAAGGCCCGCTTTCCTGATCAGCCTGGGTTTCTCTTTGGCTCCAAAGCCACGGTGCGGAACTACTACCTTACCAAAGTCCACCTCACTGGCTTCCAAAAATTAATCCACCAAGTTCTTCTAAAGTTTCTGGCCTGGCCTTTTTCCATTGCCCTACACTTCTGACTGATTTGGCCATTGTGACTACGCCGAAACAGTAAATTATCTTGGCTTTTTAAAGCCAGGCAAGGCCGACTGGTGACTAGGAAGAGAAAGGAAGTTGTGGGGCAGGGGACGGAGGATGTTCCGAGCTTCGCGAAAGAGTTGAGACATTGGAGGTTTCTTGCGCAAGGTGGTTATTATGCTCTCTCTTCTGTTTTGTTTCCGCAGCTTCGCCCAGGATTACAATCAATCACACTACCTACTCTTTAAACAACTGCTTTATAGTCGCTCGACTCTCTAGAATAAAACGGAAACTACTGTTCTCCTGACACCTGTCATTGAAGCTCCTTTAAAATCCCCCTGAGGGATTTGCCTGAGGATTTCCGAGGCTTTTACTTAAAACTATGACCCTCTGCTTCGCCACAACACTAGGTTGGGTTTGGAATCAGTTTGAGGGTCTTTATGCGGCAGAGGATGGGTTCTTTCTATCACCACTGAAACCCCCTTGTAACTGCCTTTTTCCCTTTCTTATCATGAGGCTTTGGGGTCCTTCAACTGCAGCCGTAGGCTCCGCTCTTGGCATTCACCGCGTGCCTTAATTGTATGACATTAAATCAAGGTCCGCTGTGAACACGGAGGGCAGAGTCTGATCTTGATCTGGAAAGTAACTGACCCACTGCGAACACCACACGTCTTCTCCTGCCCTTCCCCCTCCTCCAAGCTCTGAGTCCGTACGACTCCCCCGAAGTCATAACTCATAAGCCCGGCTCGCGTCTCAGCTCGCCTCCTGCCGCAGCTGCCAGAGCCGCTGCTAATTAGTCTGCTCTGTGGAAGTGTAGACGATGCATGTGTCTGCGTATACATACATATGCATATATCTGCATGCCATTTACAGCACACCTAAAAACATACATTCGCCTATAAATCTAGTTTTCAAATGACGGCGTGGATCGAAGTTAATTACCCCTCTGGTACAGATCTAATTTCGTAATCGTGTTATTTTACTGAAGGCAATTAACCGAGTTGATTCGCCCTGCTTCTCTTCTAAGTCACTTGAAGCAGGTTTTTAGGACCGCGCCATTGCTTGTTTTGCTGCAGAAAGTTTTGCCCATCATTTCCTACTGTTGGGAATGACATCCAGCACATCAAAGGGGAAATAATCATGCGTCTGTGTTTGTAATATAAATACCCAGATATGCCTAGTCTCTGTGTCCTCTGATAACGTTACCGCGGTTTTGGATGGGAGATCTGGGGAAGAGATGAGAGTCCAAGGACGTGCTGGGTCATCTTTCTTTGTATTGCGGAAAAATTAACTCAACCGCACCTGCCTAGTCCCGAGAGGGCTGGGAGGCCCATCTGGTCTGGCTACAGCTTTGCTGCAGAGAGAAAAGGCTGTCCTAAGGCTTCCCCTGCCGGGAAGAGCGGACCTCGGGTCTGCGCCCCACCGGGGGTTACGGTTCAGAGCAGCGCGGCGGACGCGCACTCCGCAGACTGCGACAGGAGTCTGGAGGACGGAGGAACCAGGGCCCGGAGGAGGGAGGGGAAGCAGGAGAGAGGAAGGGGTGAGGGGAGTTGACCTCTACGGGTGGTGCCCTCTGCACTGCAGGCAGGAGGCGGTGGGTTCAGTGGCTCTTTTCGCGGCTTCCCCTGCGGCGAGGTCGGCCCGAGGGACAGGCCCGATCCGGCTCCAGCATCCGAGGGAGGGAGGATCTTGCGCCACAGCGGCTCCGGGGCGGTGTAGAGCCCAGCTGCGGCTGGAGAGGGCGCCTAGAGCCGGTCTAGCGCAGAGACCCGAGAAGGCGCCCCTGAAAAACAGAGTAACAGTATGGAATTAAAGAGGGATGCAGAAGGGAGGAGGGGGAGGCTGAGGAGAAAGGGTAGGAGAAGGGAGGGCGCAAGCGAGGGAGATAAGGTGACGGGAGCACAGGGCCCTAGCCGGCTGCCGCGACTTCGGTCCCCAGGTTCCAGCCGGGCGCTGAGAGGCCCACGGCGCGCGGAGCCCGGCGCGCGCAGCCCGGGAGGGGAAGCGAGGTGGCAGTGCGCGAAGGTCCCGGCAGCGGAAGCCGTGAGGTGGGGGCCAGATGCTGCGGCTACGCGGCCTCCAGAGAAGAGATTTCGGGAGCTGGAACTGTCAAAACGCGTCCGCAGAGGATCCTCAGTACAGTCCAGCCGTTCTTGCGTCCTATGCCCTCCTTTCCCAGTCTCTTCCCTTCCCTCACACCACACTTCGGGTCTGCACTCTCCAATCTCCACCCCTTCTTGGTTTAGGACGCTGCGAACTGCAAGACCGGCAAGTCCCAGCAAGAAAATCGAAACGATCGATGAGGGAAAGAATTACATATACACATAGCCCTAGAAACCCGAAGGAGAAAGACCTACTAGCTCTGCTCAGACATGCAGAGGACCAAAGCCTTTTCAATCGCCGCTCAGCCGTTCACAGAGGAAAGAGGAGGCTGAGAGGCTTCCGCGGTATAAGGTGCTTTAGGGTGGAGGTGGGGGTGGGGAGGGGGTGGGTCGGAGCAGTCCGGTCTTTCCCCCTCGCTTGCTGATCCAGAATTAGGGATTAATGGCTCGCTCCAGCCAAACAAATAAGGCATCTGCCTTCAGCACAAGAGGATTACACGGGCTGCTGACGTCACCAGTCAGACAGATGTTGGCTCCCAAAGTCCTGAGTAGCTCGCTGTGTCCTTGAAACCAAAGAGCCGCAGAAGGCGCTTAGCCCCCAGTAACTGCTCCTGGGAACAGCAAAGGGCGCGCGCCCTGCCCTTGCCTGTACTCCCACGGCGGCAACACAGTGGCCCAAAGACAGCCCTCTAAGACGACATACCCCCAAACTCCCCGGCCTTTCCCCATAGCCCTACAGTCAATGCTCAGGCTTGCCCAAGGCAAGGCAAAGTTATCATTTTCGGTTGCCTCTCCCTAAAATGGAGACAAGAGCCGACACCCTCTGTACGTCTCATCTAGACCCCAAATTCTAAGCTCTTGGGCTCTTGATCGCTCACACATGATTGGCCAAGCAAAAGCAAAATAAGCATCTTAGGTAGGACAGAACCCACGCTCCAGATGAGGGGCGGCCTCTTAATTATGTGCGCAAGCGGCAGAAGCAGGGCTTATCTGCATCTCCTCTTCTCGCCAATGCCGCCGTCCTTTACCAAGGCTAAATTTCAGATTTATGCTTAATCTTATCACGAATGCCATTCCCGACGAATGTGCCTTTCTAAACAATGACCATCTCCCAACCGAACTCTGCGTTCCAACCAGAGCTCTGGGCCACCGCTCAGTTAGCCACCGGGACCTCACCATGGTCCTGATTATTGCACTTGCTTTTCAAGTACTTTGAAGACCTTGTTTATTTTTTTTTTTTTTTTTGCAGCTGTCTGCGTGTGTCCTTGTCCAAAACATATCTAGCATCTAATTTTAAGAATATATACATCCAGGTAACTGCATTCTATAACCAGATCTGATGAATAAAGACCAATCATTAATTTATAAACCCTAAACACTCTTTAATTTGATGTTTTAAAATTCAAATTCAAATACAAACTATTTTATCGAATTTGCATATTGTTTTTGCTTTATATGATTCCCCAGGCCTTTACAGCTCACAACTGAAGGCAGATTATAAAATAAGCCAAAGGACAGACGAAATTGGAAATTTAAATGAGCAATTTTGAATGTGTTATGTAATTCACAAATGAAATGGCTTTAAGTGAAGTTCAATTCTGTAAGGGAATAAAGGCAATTCAAACAATATATAAAACAAAATAATTGATCTCTGATACAGAGCCATGCTGAACCAATCCTGTGCCCCAAATGATCAAATAAGTATACATGAAAAAGAAATGTTTGCCCACAACATTGCACCGTTGGTTATAGATAAAATGCCTAAACAGGAGTAGTAGTGCCTGGATTATATCTCCATTCAAATTATCCCTGTCTATCAAAGTGGCATGTAATTTTTCCAGTTTTATGCATTTAGAAATTCAGTCACTGATAAAAATCAATTTAATTTGCTCTAGTGTCATTCAGCTAATGCTGCCTAAATCAGTAAAATTTCTCTATTCTCACGCTGCTTCAAGGCCTTATAAGAAAGTGCCTACATCTTAAACAGATGGATTTAAATTTGTTATTAGCTAGTAAAAAAAGGTAGACCTCATCTTATTTTAACTGGATAAACAACATAGACTGAGACACGGCATAGAAGTAACTATTTCTTTGAAACTTGCTAGAATACGTTTGAAATGCTATACTTCAAAGGAATCTACTTCCTTCTAAAAAATCACAAAGGTTTTTGCCTCCCAACATGTTTTGAATGTAGACTCCTATTCTGCTCTCAGAAAATTTACTAGAGCTCTTTTTGCTCAGTGACTTAATATTAGTTCGCTGTCCATGGTCTTGATCCACATGAATGCTAATGGTGCATTTTGAAAAATGTAAATCACAATGTTTCTGCACCAATTTGATGCTCTAACATTTTCAGATAATGTCAAAGGGGGAAACACCTATAGATTTTAGGTTCTCTCCCCATTCCAGCTGTTTTCATTTTTCTATATTTGCCACCATATTGAGAGTCCAGGAAACAGATGGGGAAAGTTTGCATTTCATTATTTTGAGCTGACAAAATCACCACCCATTTGGTTTGAAGACTTGTAGAAAATAAGAAATAGTATTTTTTCAATCTGCAAAAAAAAAAATTTTATTTTTGCTTTCAAAAAAGTAATAGATATCCTTGTACACGCATCCTTATCCACTTTTACAAATGGTTTAACAAGTACAGTAATGTTTACAAAAATGACAACTTAAGAATAACAAAAAGCCAAACAACAACCTTCTCCACTCTCTCTAGGTAGGTATAGACATAGATATATCTCACATACACACACATACATGAGCACTAAACACTGAACTAAAATAAATCCCTTCTCTTACACCCTGTAATTTTTTTTCTAGTTAAGAAGCCATATGCTGAGTACCTAAGGCTACTTAGTAATTCCTTCTGTCCAAAATAACTTTTCACCTTCAGGTTAAAAAGCAAGATTGACCTGGCAGAGTAACATTTAACCTCTCCTGGGGTTTCCTCAAGGGGGAGAAAGAATAAAGAAAGAAAAAAAAACCTGCCCCCCTTTCTCCCAGCATTTAATTGTTTTTCGTCTTTTACCTTTCACTTCTGATTATCATAAGTATGTACTTACTATATATGTATACAAGCGCATACCAACAGACATTTATTTTCTGAATCCCTGAGAGCCACTGCGGATATCTGATGGGCACCGACCTGCACAAACTGGTCATATTTTTGCTCTGATTACACAAGTATCCCAACAGTAAGAAAACAGGCTCTTGCCCAAACAGAGGTTGGTGCCCACGGCAGGCCACGGGGCTGGACTTCAGTGATTCACGTTTTCCCGGACACGAGAAGGCTACTTTCTGAAGAAGTATTTAGAACTTAGGAAAATCCTTGTGCCGGAAGAAAATGGCCTAAACACAATAGGACTCGCCATTTTCTCCTTGTGTAGCACAAAGCGCTCGGCGCTGCCCGGCACACAAAGAAAGCGTGGGCCCGCGGAATTCTTGCACATTTTCAAGAGGCCAAAAAAAACCTACCGCAGAACCGGTTTCTCCCACCTGGGCACTCTGAGACACCCTTCTACCTTCACTCAGCCCTTGTCACAAGAAGGTCCTTCTTTTGAGATGGAGATAGAAGACCCAGCGAAGGCGCAATGCTAGCTAGCCAGCTAACCCTGGCAAGACTTAAGTCCTGAAATCCGAGGGGCCCGGCCGCCGCAGCCCGCGTCTCCCTTCTAGGCCGGGGGCGCGCGCATTCCCTCCCTCCCCCTCAATTCCATCCCGTCTCCCAAGCACGTCTGGGAGTTCGGGAGTTTAGGGATCTCCGTGACCTGATTTCCATCCAGTGCCAGGAACTAACCTTGCGGCCAGGAGCCGGGCGGGAGGCTCTCAAGGATGCTCGCGACGCGGGAACCCCTCAACTCCGCGCCTCGCGACGCCCCCCGCCCGCTGCTTCAAATCGCCGTTTCCGAGACAGAGAGTGCCTTGTTCCGCACGCCCACAACCTGCGAACACTTCACCCGCTCACGTGCGGAAAGCGCAAGCTTCGAGGAAGCCCCTGTGAATGAAAACACCCAAACACAACCGGCGCCCCGACTCACAAAGCGCACACTCTCAGTCCAGCCGGAGACCCAGAGCTCGGGTAAAGCAGGAAAAGATCGTACTTACAGCCTGTGCGCGTTTGGGTAATCCACATCTCAGCACGTTTGGTTGGTTGGTTACAAAATATATGCACATCTCTATATATTTGATTTTGCAAATCTTCCATCGTTGAGAAGGGACGACAACAAAAGTCTTGTAGCCTAGCGGGGATGGGGGAGGGGGATGGAGATTTTCATTGTCTACGCTGTGCACACGCAGCCCGAAGAAAGACGCTCATTGCCGTGTGGGGATCCTTCTACTTTGTGCTTGAAATTCAGAAGCTTTCAGCGCAGTAAAGCGGGGGTTTGGTCTCTTCCTGCCTCCCTCCCTCTGCGTTCTCGTTTAATCTCTCTCTCTCTCCTTCTTTTCCCTCCTCTCCCCTCCCTCTCTCTCTCTTCCACAGCTCCAAGTCTCTCTCTCTCTCTCCTCTCTCTCTCTCTCTCTCTCTCTCTCTCTCTCTCTCTCTCTCTCTCTCGCTTTTTCAAAAGAGGGCAGGTCGCTTCCTGCATCCCAATGAGTTAAATCAGTCACTTACTTCTCATGCATCAGCAGCCTCTGTAACAACCCAAGGGCTGCAGGCACAAAAGAGCATTTAGTTGCCTCCAATTTGTGTAGAAGGCCTGTCTTTAATTTGTTTTTGGAATATAATTAAATCATGTATTTCAAGTAATATGAAAATACCAAGTTCTCAACTTCAGCGAATACTAAGTGCTAATGGGCACCCTTGAAAATATACCTCTTCTTGTTGGCGTCCTTAGAAAGGGCCTAGGACGCCCCAGGAATGGAGAGGCCAAGGATTTGGGCCCAATCCACCCGACCCACCCCCTTTCACACGTCAAGGTCATAGTCATATGATCTTCCATTGCTTTAAAATGGAGCCTTTCTATCAACCCTTCGCCTTGGAAAGCAATGAAATCTTTTTGTGGTATGTGAAGATCTGAAGGATTAAATAAATAAATAAATGCATCCTTAATCTGAAATACACACGTAAGCAGAATCAACCGTGATCAGACGCTGCGACGGGAGGGGGAGACTGATAAACCATGTGAGAGTATGTGGCTTTCATCTCCCCCCTCCTCGCCTGGAGAATACTGAGGTCTCTCTAGTTTTTGCTCTGGTTTCTTTTGGCGGCTTAGCGGGCCTTACCCAGCCACAGGACCAGCGCCTTTTTTATTTTTAAAGAGCGTCTCTGAGGAGTCCAGATCTCCAAGGCACTGCGCAGTGGTCAGGGGGGTAGTGTGTATAGTTCCCCCTTCTCTAAAAGGGCTGGGGCACAAAGAGCAACTCTGCCTTCCCGCAGTTTCTCTTTCAGAAAAATCCCCAGGCCCGGCCATTGTTCTTCCTCAATGAAGGGGGGCGAGGGTGACAACAGAGAGACCTCCTCTTCCCCACTCCACGCAACTCCTCCCTCACCACACCCAAGGCCACTGCTGGGGAGAAATTTGGGTATATCTTCTTGCTCCTGACACTCCTGTCTGGGAGATCATGGGATCCAATGTCATTAATATCTTGGTTATATTCTTTGCATTTTCTTCAGCAATATTCCGTTAAGTCATCAGCACCCCACCCTCCTCTTCTGGTTCTAATAGCTCTTGTTCAGAAACACTGCACCGGATGGCAAGGAGGTTAGCACTGCAGATAACCGCATTTAATTCCATCAAAAGGAAATGAAACAATGTAACTCGCCACCTCCCGCCTCCGAATATTAGCTCTTTATGCCCTAAAATCACCCCGGGGTTTTGAGTAAGGCCATGTTTCTTTCACCTTGAACATTTATCAAACCGGACTCTGCCGCCTCTGCTGCCGCAGGAGAACGCACAGGCCGCCAGCAACCAGCTGACATCTGCTGGAAAACTCCAACAATACCTCCAACGGGGTCGTTTGCAAAACGTGAGAACCAAAAACGGAAGAAAGACCTTGTTTTAAACAAAGAGAAAGTGTATATACGTGTGTGTGCTTGTATACCCCAAATGCTGGATTTGGGGACTCGAATTCTGTAAGATAAAACGACATATCTGTGTTTGAGCCCAGCCCCGAAGGCCTCTGCACCGGTGTTTTCCTAGCAGAGAGACACAACGTTCTCTTTGGAGGCACCGGAAGGAATGTGCATCGTCCGCCTGCCCTTTATGTTTCACAGGATGATGCTCAATCTATCCGTTTCCAGTTTATTGACCAGGAACCTGAGACGGTTAAAGATCGGCAACTTCTTGCCAAAGCCTCGGGAAGCCAGGGTCACGCGGCGCGGCACCAGGTCTGGCTGCAGAGTAGGTGCGGCTCTGCCCTGGCTAGCCAGAAGGGTCTGCTCTGTGGGATGACAACTCATACGACCCCGGGTGGGTCCTTAACCCATCAAATGCCCCATCCCCTCGTCCTGGCTCTGGCAGTGTCAGCTTTCTTCATCTTCCGGGGTCCTGGCATTTCAGCCTTGCTGGTGGGAGGCCTTAGGAAGAAACCCAGGCGGTGAGTGCTTTTCCTGTGGATGGGCCGCTCCCTCGCCCGCGGTTTATTCTAAGTTGTAGCTGCAAAGGGAAAAGCTGGAGATCAGAGGAGAATGCAGGAATTTTTACGCGGGCCTTTCACCCCCCACCCCACCCCCAACCCAAACAGATAGCTGGGCCAGGACACCTGCAAGGCAGCCTGCAGCCGCCGCCTCCGAGTAGCTCTCCGGACTCGGGCTACTGTGTCGGATCAAATAAGGTCACCTAATGTTCTCGGCCCAGATCGCTCTGTCCCCTCCCAAAGAATCTTTCTCTGGACACCTTTCGGTCCTTTCGGAGAACAGAGCTTCCGATCCCGGCTTTCCACCCCGGGCCCAGGAACCTGAATGGGTGACTTCTTTCCAGTCCCAGGATCTTTCAGGTTTGCCTTGTACTCAAACCTCCCCCAGCTCTGCACATCTTGTCGCCTGGGCTTGGAGCTTATGAAAATGTAACCCAACTCATTGCCTGGAGTTGTTGCTAATTAGTGGATAATAAACTTCTGTAGACAGGGCACAAAAGTCTTTTAAAAGTGCAAAGGTATTCTTTGTTATGGCATCAGAAAATACATTAGCATATCAATTGGACTGGGGGGACCGGACAATGAACCCTCCTCCCCCCTTGCTGCACTTAGTTTGCCGCCCGCCGCTGCCTCCTCCTTCTGTCCTTCCTCCTCCTCTTCCTCTCACTGCTCCGAGAGCTGTCAAACAGCAGTTGGGGACCGCGGAGTGGCGGGCCGGGGCCGAGTGGGCAGGCGCAGTGCGAACTTCCTGCCGGCCACCAGGCCGCGAGGCCTGCGCGGAGCCCTAGTCTTCGCCCCGCGCCCAGGCGCGCGCTGGCGGAAGGTGGAGGCGCGCGGCGGGGCGCGAGGGACGCAGAGGCTGAGAGTGGCGGGTCCCCGCGGCCGCGAAGGCGTGGACCCGGCCTGTCCCGGGAGGACGGCTTCCCACGGCCCCCCACAGCGCCCCCTCCCTGCGTCCGCGGTTCGGGCCGGGAAAGACCTTTGCCTTCCCCCGGCCGCGCGAAGCCCCGGCGGACTTTACACTTCTTTGACCACGTGGAGCCACCAGCCCCCCCACCCTCCTCCGGCCTCTCCCGGGCGGCCCGCTGACCTCCCGACCCTCACTTGCACGCTCCTGGGGCCTAGCGGGCGTTCGGGACCAGCCGAGGCCTTCAGTTTCAAGGCAGCCGTGTCCTCGGGGGCTGCGGGTCCTCTTGGCTGGTCCCGTGCCGAGGTGCCCAACAACTGGCCGCTCGGTAGCCGCCGAGGCGAGGCGGCAGGAGCGGTCCAGGCCTCAGCAGGCCTGGCCGAGTCTCCGCGGGACCTCGCCTGGCCCCGCCGCGGCCCCCGCCAGCCGCGGGCCCCCGCCCCAGCCGGCCCTGCGGGAGCCGGCGTCCCGGGCCGACGGCAGCATTAGAATGCCTGCCCCGGGCCGGGCACTAAAGCAGAGAAGTAAGTCTCTCGGAGACGGAGACGCGGCCCAGGCCTGCGGAACCCGGGCTGCCAGCTCCCTCCGCGCCTCTGCCCAGCTGTGCAGGCCCTGGAGCGCGTGGGGCAGGGAAGGGGACCTGCGGAGCCGCCTCGGGCTCGGGAGAGGAGGAGCGGAGAATGGCGCGGGAAGAAAGGAGAAGGGGAGGCCCGCAGCGACGGCGCGCCGCGGTCGCCGGCGGCCCGGGACTCGCTACTTCAGGCCGGCCTGGAGGAGCTGCGGGCCGGCAGCTCGCCCCTCCACCGCGAGGCCCCGCCGACCCGCAATCCCGGCCAGGAAACGTTTCCTTTTATTTTTTTTTCTTCCCCCTCTCCCCCTTTCCCCTTTCTCCCTAGAGGCAGTTTCCGTCCTCCAAATGCATTTCAAAAAAAAAAAAAGAAAAGAAAAGAAAAGAAAAAAGAAAACTCCGGGGCACTCCTTTTCCACCCGTGTCGCCTTTTCCTAACACTGGTGTTTGGCGAACAAACCCAAACTCACGCAAATTTCCCCGAAAATGAACCGCTTTAAGGCACGGGAGGGAAAATGTCGGGGAAGAAAGTGGAGGTCAGTGTTTCCCTAAATGCAAAACATTGGAGAGGAATCTGAAAAGAGCTTTACTTTCTCTGCGAAATCTCCATTGTTGCTTGGCAAACAATGGGAGCCTGGGCGACTGCAGGACTGTGAGAATGAATAGGCGATCCGCGGGATGTGTGCGGGTCAGTGCTTGGGGTCCTGGGCCTAAAGCCCCTTTCTCAGCTTGCCACAATAAACCAGAGCAAGGTTTAGTCTTTACTGGGTCACCGGCCATCTCCTATTATTCAACACTTCACAACAAAAACACTTATTAATCAGCGCTGACCAGAGGCCCCTATTGAAACAAGAGAAGAGGGGAGACTGGGAGAGAGAGAGAGAGAGGGGTGAAAAGAAGATTGAGAAGCCCTGGACAGATCTTTCTAAAGCCAGAGCAACCATAGGGTGCTTTCCTCCAGTGGCCAAAGTTTATTTGACACAACAAAGTTTCTAATCAGGCCACAGAGACCTGGATTTCTCATTTGCCTTACTGCCTGTCTCTTTCTCGGAAGATGTTGGAGACTTTGTTGCGAGGAAGGATGACTTTAGGTCAAATTACCAAGGCCTGATCTTAAAGATCTAATTGCTATTGGAAGAGAAACCTGTTTACCAGCTGGGCCTCCACACTGGAGATGGGCGCAAGGAAGACTGTCCAGCTCTTCTCTGGGCACCCTGCTGATGGATGAGGTGTCAGGCCAGTAGTCATGTGAGGACTGGTTTCCAAATGGTATGAGCAGTAGTCAAATGTGCTACTTTTTGGTGATACTGAATGCAATCTGTAGATTTTCTAGTTATTTCAGTCTGGATGTATTAAAAGACTAAAC